GAAATTAAGCCATTTATGTTGGAGTCCGTCCTCCCAACATTGTTTATGCAATTCAATTGACCAAAAATAACATACATTTTACAACAATAAGTTTTGGTATTCATCGCAATAAATTTTGCTTCGTTTCCACTTGAGAATCAATTGAGTGAAATATTGTCGATACAGTACAAATACAATATTGCATGTAACCTGCTGAGCTTTGAATTGCAATTCGAATTGTTAATACATATGTCCATATTGCATAGTAATACCATGGTATAATGAAGTCAAGGTAGGCTAAGTTGGAAAAATTTGCAAGTATGGATTGTTATGACGGCCCACACCATGGCTGGCGCTTGAGTTCTGGTGGCCAACCGAAGTTGCACATTTTCAGCTGACCTCTTTGGCAAGTAAACATGATCATTTTGTTTATTTACAAACTGCTGGATAACGAATGTTTTCTCATCGGAGAAAAGCAAATTCGGCAGTTTACCACTTTCTGCCAAGCGAAGCAACTCTTTAGCTCTTTTGAGTCTGTTGCGGTGTTAGTTCTTGCACTTTTTGGAATTTTAATGGCTTTACCCCGAGCACATTTTTCAATATTTGCCGAATGGAATATTGCGATTTGTTCAGCTCACGAGCCATTTTTCGGTCACTGCGACGCCGGTTTCGATCAAGTCGCTTCTTTACTTTTCGAACCATTTCTGCTGATGTTGCAGTTTTCTTCCGTCCACTTCCTTGACGTCGGCCTACACTACCAACGGTAACCAATCCCACGGCAGCGGGTTCTACGATACCGGATTGACCCGAAACAACAAGATCCCAGTTTCGGCCAGCGGCTGCCAACCCAGTATGTACATGTTTGTGTTTGTTTATTTTTCTGCATTGGGAGCAGCATATCCCGGAATGCTTGCTCCGGATTTTATTGGTCCGTGCCGGGATTGAGGAAAACCCCGGACCTTGGTTCTGCTCGGTTTGTCAGAACGTCATCCACCACAGATCTGTCTCGGTGCGATGTAATGGATGCAGAGAGTGGGTGCACTTCAAGAACTGTTCCGGATTAAGGCGTTTGCGAGACTACAGCGAAAGGGATTATGTTGCGACTTGCTGCAGTAACGTAGTCCCCAGCGAGTCCTCTTCTTCGTCGTCCTTGTCAGAGACGTCGTCGGAGTATGGCACTCCACAGCAGTCTCCAGAACAGCAACCAACACCGCAGCACCTAACGCCACATGTTGCTGTTCCAACTCCGGATTGTGCATCGTTCTTGCAATTCAATTGCAACGGACTTCGAGGCAAAATAGATGAGATAGTGGAATTTATGAGTCGGAGGAATATTAAGATCGCAACGGTGCAGGAAACCAAGCTGAATGAAAATTGCAGCCTACAACGTTGTTATGGTTACAAGGTACTAAGGAAGGATCGCACCAGAAGTGGAGGTGGGGGATTAGCGTTCCTGTTACACCATTCTGTTCAGTACAGGCCTATCTCGCTTGAGCTAGTCTCTAGTGACCCATACATGGAATGTATGGGGGTAGCAGTCAAGTGTGGAACTGCCGAGGTAGAGGTGCTTAATGTGTATATCCCGCCGATTAATAGCTGTGAACCGCGTTATTTGCCTGATATTAGCCCATTATTGGTAGGCAATAACCGCCTGGTACTAGGGGATTTTAATGCCCACCATGAGTTGTGGCATTCCGTCCTAGGTAATGACCAGAGGGGATCAGCGCTGGCAGAGCAGATTGACTGCTCCACATTCTGCACGGTTAACGAGGATGCCCCCACCCGAATAAGAGGAGAGTGTCACAGTTCGCCAGACTTAACCATAGTGTCACCCGGTCTGATAAATGACGTGACTTGGCAACCCGTCATTTCTCTTGGCTCAGACCATCTCCCGATAATCGTCTCCATAAGCAGGTCGCCCGATTTCATAACCTCTGAACGCCGCACTTTCCTTAACCATGGGAAAGCTCACTGGCCAGAGTTCAGAGAATTCACCAACCGCCGCTTCAGAGAACTGCCCAACCCTTCTGATGTTCGGGTAGCAGAAAGGATTTTCCGAAACATCATCAGAGCTGCAGCCGCTCGCTATATACCTGCTGGTCGAATACCCGAGATAAGACCAAACTTCCCAGCAGAGGCAGCGGGATTAGCAAATGAGCGTGATGATCTCCGTCGTACCTACCCTACTGATCCTAGAATCAGTGATTTGACAGTGGAAGTCAACCCGTTGGTACAGGAGCATAAGAGGAAAAAGTGGCTAGACCATCTGAAGTGCTGCAACATTGAAACCGATATGAGTAAGCTGTGGGTAACGGTTAAATCGCTCTCGAACCCTGGGAAAAAGGATGATAGGACCTCAGTCACTTTTAACGACGTAACGGTGACTGATCCGAAGAGGTGCGCGGAATATTTTAACCGACAATTTGTCGAGCACCCCGAGAGCGATAGGGCGAAGCGAAGAGTACTACGTCGTATCAGATCTCTTCCCGCCGAGGAGGAACCACCACAGTTTACGATGGGTGATGTTGCAAATGTCATCCGTAACGCTAAGTCATCCAAAGCGTTGGGCCCGGACGGAATCTCAATGGTAATGTTGAAGCAGCTGGATACGCCGGGAGTCGAGTACTTAACGAAAGTTCTCAATTTGTCGCTAGCCACCCACATAGTGCCCGAAACCTGGAAAATGGGCCGGGTGGTCCCGCTACTGAAGCCAGGCAAGGATGCCAGTAAAGGCGAATCGTACAGGCCGATTTCGCTTTTGTCGCCAGTAGCAAAGACTCTTGAGGCTTTACTCCTCCCCAGCATTAGAGGAAGCTATACAGTTGCCAACCACCAGCATGGATTCCGTCCACAACATAGCACCACAACAGCATTACACGCCATTTCCACACATATTAGTAGAGGACTGAACCAGAACAGGCCGTGTGACAGAACAGTGTTGGTAGCCCTTGACCTATCAAAGGCATTTGATACGGTCAATCATGCCACACTGTTTGAGGACGTACAGAGAACTACCCTCCGGCCAAGTTTGAAACGTTGGATAATCAACTATATGTGTGGACGCCAGTCGTACGTGGAATTCCGGAACAAGAAGTCCAAAGCCCGTAGAGTGAAACAGGGAGTTCCCCAAGGCGGGGTGATATCTCCGGAACTGTTTAACCTCTACCTTTCCGGAATTCCTCGCCCTCCAGACGGCATTGAGATCGTAACGTATGCGGATGATTGTACGATCATGGCGTCGGGTCCTGTGGTCGATGACATATGCGAAAGGTTGAACCCCTATCTCGCAGAGCTTGCCGCATACTTCCACGCGAGGAATATGATAATATCCGCCACGAAATCAACGGCCACACTCTTTACCACATGGTCTGCGGAGATGAGAACACAGCTGAATGTTCAGGTCGAGGGGAATCTAATACCGACCACGAACTACCCCAAGATTCTTGGGGTAACGTTCGACAGCATGTTCAAGTCGTCCGCGCAAGCCACAGCTATCTGCGACAAGATGAAAAGTAGGAACAAGGTCCTCAAGGCGCTAGCCGGCAGCTCTTGGGGTGCGGACAAAGAAACCTTGTTGACCTCTTATAACGCGATAGGTCGGTCTGTGGTCAACTATGCGGCTCCAGTGTGGTCTGCGAATACTAGTGCTACGCAGTGGAAGAATATCCAGACCTGCCAGAACGCTGCCCTGAGAACTGCGACAGGGTGCCTCCTCATGACACCAGTGGACCATCTACATGAGGAGGCGAAAGTCCTTCCCTTACGTCAGCATAATCATATGCTTTCGTTGCAGTACCTGCTTGGGTGTTACCGTGAGAGTCATCCCAACCATCATATGGTGGATAACTCTCCCCCACCCAGGCGTGTCAGGAAGGACATACATGATCTAGAGAGGGAGGTCCAGCGCTACAAGAGAGAGCCTCTAGATCAAGAAGCCTATCAGGCAGGTCTGAGTGGCATTCACACCGATGCAGTCGCGGATGCTATTAACAGTTACAAAGTGAATGCCGTCCTCGGAGTCCACCCCCCATCCATTGCAGCCGAAGAACGTCAGCTGCCTAGACAAACCAGGGTAGTTTTGGCGCAATTACGTTCAGGATGGTGTAGTCGCCTCAATTCGTATTGGGCACGAATTGATGAAGATGTGCGTGACGCCTGCCCGGCGTGCGATACAGGCCCGCACAATACGCTACACCTTTTTAATTGCTCAGCCAAACCTACCCAACTCACTCCAGAGGATCTCTGGCTACAGCCCGTTAAAGTAGCCGAATTTCTAAACCTGGAGCTGGAACCAGATTAGCAGAACAGAAACACACACATGTACTACTGCTACAACAACAACAACAACAACCAACGGTAGCGAGCGATGGTACGAGACACAGAAGATTTATTCACATTTAAAGGCTGGAGTGCTCAATCGATAGCCACTTGTGTTTTTCCAGCTACATATAAAGAAATCCTACTATCACGCTTGCATTTCATCACGAATAACTTTTTTTCTGGAAAATTCGCACGCTTGTAAACAATATAATGAGCTGTCACTGGAAAAATTTTAACAGCTGTCGGATGAGTGACTCAGAAATGGTAGCAGTCTGAATTTGGTTGCAGTTTTTTCATCTCACCCTGTATGTTTAGACACTCGATAAATAGAATCCTGGTTAAATCTAATGCCTCAGTATATTTTTTTTTCGGCTGACTATCATTATCTTTTTAACGATTGGCGTGTGTGCCTAAAAAAACATCACCTATGCCTGTAAGGCACATGCATAGCTCTCATTACCTTGACCCCGCATTAACTTTTCAAGTTCAAATGGTTTCGACACGCAATTACAATACGAATTACAACGACCACAAAGCTATGAAATATTAAATGAATTGTAAGAGAACACACAAATTGTTCCACTCTTCTCTCTCTTCAATCAAGACATTTACTATGTATTTTTAATTTTTAATTCGATTATATGCCTTCAAATGCCATACAACAAAAATAATAATGACAAATTCTCTTTTTATCATTGCAGATTTGGCTCGGCCAGCAGCCAAGCATCACAGAGCAGCGGTGATATTTGTCGCATTTGTCATTGTGAGAGCGATCCACAGAATCCACTTTTGACGCCATGCTATTGTTCCGGCAGTCTCAAATACGTACATCAAGCATGCCTGCAGCAATGGTTGACTGCTTCCGAAACAAACTCCTGCGAATTATGCAAATTTCCATTTATAATGCACACCAAAATCAAGCCATTCAATGAGGTCAGTAGTCGGGCATATCTATTTAAGTAGTAAAAGTGAATTACTACTTGGTGGGAATATGCATAGATAGAAATAGAAAACAAACTAAAATAATTAAATTGTGTCAAATGTTCAGCAAACGCACATACATACATACAAATATATCCAGAGAGTTACACAATCAAAACAGTCAGCCACAGGTAGAAGATTTGTTACTCCTCATTGTGCACTGTAAACAACTTAACTGCCAGTCGGGAACTTGAACATCAAAGGAGAAATGTGCCAAGTTTGGCGTTGGCAGGTCGTTGATGAAGTAATGTAAACAAGATACTCGCATATAAACAAATAAACAAGGCTCTTTGATGGTAGTACATCTTTTGTTACTTAATTTTATAATTTCATATTTTCCCTGCAGTCTTGCAGCTTTGTTTATAACAAAACTCTTTGGGATTGGTTGATCTGGAATGCACCATAACATTGTTTGTAAGGGAGATGAACACGTCAACCGTTCTGTTTTTCTGTTGCCAATTACTATGACATCCAATCGAAAGGAACGATTCCTGCAAAATCGTTCCCAATGGGTAGGACGTCTCTTTGCATTAATTGCACAATTACCCGGCATATACAGGTATTTCGAATCGTTTTGGAATAAATTGATTTGTCATATTTCAAATTGGAGTAATCCTTGTATGGAATCTCTTGCAGTTTTGAAAATATAATTATCATAAAATGAATCCGATTTCAATTAAACAAATCTAAAGTATTAACCAGTGCAACTGTGCAAGGCGATTTCAATGTCCATTATTCGGTCCTAAGGGGTAAATGAGACATAGCACAGCAGGAGAAAGAGGACTGTCCTTTCTCTCCGGACAAATCAGTACCGGTCCGTAGCACCGAATGTAACAAACATTCATTTCTTATGTTCAGATCATCTCTCCCTCTCTTTCTCTCGCTCTCGTATCCAACAAAGACCTCCCAAATTCATAACATCTGAACGCCAACTGTGGAAATAGGGAAGACAATTGACAAGAGTTCAGAAAATTAATTAATCACTGTCCTACAGAGAAAACTTAAACCCATCCAATATTCGGGATAATTAGGAATATGCGAGGCGTTATAACAATGATATTAACTGCTCTTCGAATATCCCAAAAAATAATAAATTACAAGGCAAAGACAAGGGATTGACAAATGAGCGGGATAATTTTTACCATACGAACCCTGATGATCCATAAAGTGCAAGATTTGATAAACAAGTTAAAAGATTAGTCGGGCAACACATCACTACGGATATGGAATTTGTACACGAAGGTTAAGCCACTATCGACTCCTTGAAGGAGTAACCTGTGCGATCCCTTCCAGTCGATAAAACACTTGTACAATTCACCTTAGAGACTACTACTCAGAAAGGGCTTCTCATAAACATGTATCCATGGTACAATAAAATAATGGTAGTAAAATAAAATATGTCAACAGGCCAAACAGGTAGACTTCTATACTTCCATTTTCCCCCCCAGACACAGTCAATAAAAACCACACCTTATGAGAAACATCTTCCACATAGACACATCTACACGGTTTAGAGAAAGGTTCAAAAGTTTACCTTTAGATCAACAAGCTTAGGGTTAAACAGTGTTCACACAGATACAACTCATTTTCTAAGACTATTCGAAAAAATTGCAGCTAATGAACGACAGCGCCATAATAAGAAGTAACTGCCTCTAATCATATACGATCCGAATCGGTGTCATCATACAGGACATTTTCAGATGTAACTCGAAATGTTTTTTTTTTTGAAATTCAAAAATTCCTTTTGTAATTCGTAAAATTGCAATAGTAATTTGAGTATTCCGTTTGTATTTTCAATTGAAATTTTAGGAAGTGTAAATAAAATTTTACGACTTACAACCAAAAAAGTTTCGAATTACATCCTAAACAGGTGTAAATTATACAACACACTGCCCCTATCAATCCTATTTCACTAACCCTACACTCATTATTTCATTGTATTCGTAGCGCTTTTGAATTGGGAGTACAAAACGGAACCTGATTAAAAGAAAAATAATCAGTACAAGCTGCTGCTATAATAAGAACAATAGATGGAAATGACTTATTATGCTTAGTTCTTTTTATGCTTATAAAAAATGTATTTGTACCCATTTTTTTGTTATACCCTCCACATGTGTTCAGTTTTAAGGAAGTAGCGTCTTACGTTGTATAATTCCAACTCAATAAATATGCAATACTTGTAGCTTCAATTGATACTAAAATTTCAAAATTGTACATTTAACCGTTTTTCGCTATGAAGCTAAGCAATCATTTGTAATAGTTTTCATGAAAAATGTATCAACCTTAAAAGTTTTCTGTTCTTGCTCCTTAAATGAACAAACAGAAATCCTTCGTCATTTAAAAATTCAAAATATCATTGAAGCCCTGATACTTTTGGTCGTCATCAGATTTAACTAACCTACCATAAATTCAGCAAAATACCTTTTTTATGGATATGTATATATTTGCTTATGTGTGTGTGTTTGCGTCATTGAAAATACCAAATGCTCGTACATTTATTTTCAATGAAAATTCGTGTTCTTATTGTTTTATTTTTCAATTCGTATAAAGCATTGCCGAAAAATATTGTCCAGTTGTGTAACTGTTTTTCATTTTGTTTGTCTTTGCAGTGGCGTAGCCTTGACATTTCTGGCATTGAACGAAGACGATTGTGTTGTTCGGTATTGTTTCATTTAGCAGCAGCTCTCTGTGTAATTTGGTCACTATGTGTACTAATCGAACGTGCTGCAGAGGATGTCCAGCGTGGTAGAATAGGTTGGTTTATTTGTAATAATTGCTTATTACGTTTTTTTTGTAAATATCTCATTCTAAAACTATTCATAAAACTTTCTTGCATTCATACACATTTCAATAATAATGATTCTGAGTAGATTGTTGTTGGGATATATGGTAGAATTAAGAAGGTAAAGTCATGCAATCATATGTTTACAATTATTTCAAAATAATTCATTTGACAATATTTCATTGTCAAAATGTTTACAAATCCATTGTATATTCACAAATCAGGGATGGGAATATGTTTTCCATACAGTGTAATTTAGCAAGGTAATTTACAGAAAATGCAGAGATGAATATCCTTATTAGACTCATATTAGAGGCCTGTTTTGCAAAAGCGTTTGAAGGTTCCTCCACCAATCCAGCCAGACTTTGGACAAGACCACCGCCGTCAAGATGTTCAAGCTGTGGGAGCCAGCCATCGCCAAGAAACAACGCTTGAAAAAGATTGCTGAAGCCAAGCCTAAGATCAAGGATGTCCAATCCAAAAAGAAACCCACCTTTGTGCGTTCCGGTACCAACACCGTAACCAAGTTGATTGAACAAAAGAAGGCCCAATTGGTCGTCATCGCTCACGATGTTGATCCTCTTTAGTTGGTATTGTTCTTGCCTACTCTGTGCCGCAAAATGGGTGTACCATATTGCATTGTTAAGGACAAGGCCCGCCTCGGTATATTGGTCCGTCGCAAGACCTGCACTGCTTTGGCCTTGACTAACGATGAAGCCAACGATAAGGCTAACTTCGTCAAAATTTCCGAAGCTTCTCATTGTAGTTGGTCTTGATGGCTTCGAAAATGTTGCCGAAGTTACCCTTATCGTTGGCTTCAACGTTAGTCAAGGCCAACTGAAATCCGCAGACACTGGAGTGATGGTATCTTGGGCTCCAAGAGTTTGTCTCGCATTGCCAAGTTGGAACGCGCCAAGGCCCATGAGCTCGCTCAGAAACAAGGTTAAAACCCTCTGTGTGATTTTTACTTTTTATTTGATTTGATTAATAAAATCAAACAATACATGCAAGAGAAATGACTTTACCTTCTTCATTCTACCATGGTTGGGATATACTTATTCGATCATATTTCTTACAGATTTTGTCATAAAAGTGTTGGTAAATCATTTTCTCTTTTAACAATACAATTTAATGGACAAAAAAAACTTTCCCATTTCGATACATAGAGGTTTTTACTCTTTCTTTAATAAATACCTTCTGCATTTGTGAGTTTCATTTGACCACCACAATTTCTAGTATAATAAATGACATTTACAATTATCAAATTACATTGGTATATGGTACGTATGAACGCAAGAGCCTATTTTAATTATATATGCATAATTGACAGTGGGTGGGTAGATGATGTCCCTGTATATGCTTCCAATCATGCAGTAAGCTAGCCAGCCATAACCACTCATTCGTACTCTTCAACAATATTCATTACATTCAACACTTTATGTCCAATGATTGGGAGTGGAAGTGAGCAAACAACGACCATAACAACATTTTATGTTAGTTTTGTTTTTGCCACAATACCCTGTCAAAATAGTGTCACAGTAAAGCTAAACAAAATAAGTGTAACTGTAACTGATATTTTTCTTATTGTTTTTACTTTGTTTGCTTTTTTCCACAATCGCCATCGCCGCAACCATCACCCCAATACCACAAAACAACAATAGAATGGCCCTTTTGGACAAAACTGGCTGTCGTTGCTGTGGGCCTAACGGGCGGCATTGTATTCATGTACATCCAGTGTAAAGCCTATTTGCATTTGTGTCATCGATGGAAAGCCCGAAATAGGTATGTGTATGTGTTTGTGTACAATACTCGAAATTGTGGAAATGGGCCATAATTTCTGATTAGAAAAAAAATGTAGCTGCTTCTGCTGATGATATGTTGATGCTAACCACAGATATGAGGGAAGACAAGTGACAATATTTGTTTTTATCTTCATTTGCAGGATATTGTTGATACAAAATGCTCCCGAAAAAGTACATCCAACATCTCCGCCTTCGCCAAATGCCCAGCAACGTAATCGTAACAGCAGCTCGTGTAGTCAGACACACAATGTCGTGAATGCGCCGAATGTCAATATAAACATAGATGTCAATATGGGAAATCCGAGGCCCACATCGAGCTATAACTATGCATCTACGGTAGAGGTGAATGATGTAGAAGATGTGGCCGATGGCAGTGACAGGCTGCCCACATCGCCACATCATATGCTGCAGCATGCAGATCTCGATGTTGATTCAATGGTGTCGCAAACTTCTGCCGGCTTGCCCAGTCGAGCGTTGGGCAAGCATCATCATTCGCACCACCACCATCACCATCTGGTGACACAACAACAGAATAATCCACTGAATCACAATAGTCACTCGCAATTGGGACAAGTAGCTGTGGCGGCAAACATTGAGTGTACCCAGTCACAGCATAACTACGATCGGGACTTTGCTTTGGACGATGTTGTTTCACAGATCTCCTCATTCCGTCCCTGTCCCCAGGGTTCGGGCAGCATGACACCGTTCCACGACTCGATACATAATGTTCTAGAACACTCTGAAGACTCCAGTCGGGTGTCGGTAAATGATTTGTGCGTCGGTTCACGGCAAGATCTGAGCACAGATGGTCTTTCTACCGATACCGGACGAGAACATGCCATGCAATTGAGTAGTTTTAGTGGTAAGAAGAAAATCTGATAGCAGTCATTTGTACCATTTCTTTACTTTTCCTTTATTCTTCCAGGCAGTGGAGACCATAAAGCTCCTTCAATCAGTTCAGGTGTTTCACATGCCGTGGCAAATGGCTTGGGAGGCTTTGTCTACAAGCCACACACTAAACGATATTCAAATTCATCCATATTCCTAGAAAATCGTGATATACTCAATGATTCTGTAGATTTAGATCTAGACAGCGGACACTATCTAAAGCATGACTATGGCGGCGGTGGTGGTGGTGGAGGTGCCAACTGTAATATGTTAACGCCACCCGACATCGATGGTGGAGACAAATTGGAAAAATACTTGGGCAAAGATCTGAGACGTTACTCTGATACAAAACTGCTGGGCAGTGCAGATGTTGAAGCCTCTGATCCCATGCTAGTTTGTCATCCAGCTCAACAGCAGTTTAATCCCTCTCAAAGATTGGCAACACGTAAACGGCCGTTAATCAAACAGCACTCAGAATCAGCTGCCACTACGGTACTTGACATGACATTGCCGCATTCTCCACTTTCACCGCCCAACATCCATGACATTAAACCGCCAGCAAGGCATATGGTGCGACATTCAATGCATACTGTCGATATAATGGGACCCGAGGACTCGTTGCCGCATCCAATGGCCGCAGATCTGACGAATGGCAGTCAGCCGTCCTCTGCCAGTTACCAGCAACAGCGTCAGCATCAGCAACAAATTGACAAAGGTCGGCAATTTTTTAAATCGTTGCCAAATCTAAGCAGTAGTTGCGAAAGTCTAATTAAGAAATAAGCCTGCCACCCTCAAATTTTCGTAGGACAAGGTTTAGAAATGTATTTTTTGTTTGATTGAATGCCCATTTCTAGATTTCGAGTTGGTCGTAACTTTTGCAAGTACCAAGTATTTGCGGAGCTGAAAAAAAGCTCAACTTGAAAGAAATGTAGAAAAGATAACATGTTGTCCCGAGAAGATATTGGCCATTCCTATTATCGCATTTGTTCATTTTATGTCCAATACTGTGTAGTTTCAGTTACGTCCATCCATATATATATGTCATTGCAATTTTTACGCATAATATTTTTGCCGTCCGTTCCATTATGTCGAATGAAGCCAAACGACATTATGGAACTGGTAGAATGAACTTTTTAAACCTTTCCAAATGATAAAGAAGGCTAAACGCCATTTTAAAACTTGTTTTTAACCACTCACAATTACTTATAAATTTTTAATTTTATGATTCATAAATGTTTTACTAATGTAGGTCAATTATTTAAAGACACGAAAGACTTAACGGCATAGATTTTAATGAAGTTTTTGAGACAACGGATAGTCGTGGCGATTTTAATAAATGAATAAAGAAAACTCTTAAGGAATATTTTTTCAAACTCCCGTTATATTCGAAATAGTAAAGTTTTCAACTATTTTCTATTATAAACATATCATTTTTAACCCAAACCAGATTTGAGTTATACTTTCATTATTATCCATGAAATCGTGTTTCGTTCACATTTAGTCCTTTTTTAATTCGATTTTATTCATTTTTTGGTTGAAAATGTCACATATGAGTAAAAAAAAAACAAATATAGCCGAAGTGAGAAAAGGGAACTTTAAAACATGATAAATACATGACAGAAAATAAATTAAAATCTAAACAAATAATTGCTCTGTCCCAGAACTGTCCCAGAATGTCAAAGTGTTTACTACGATAACCAATTTTCCCTTTATGATATCAAAAAAAAAAAAACTCCAAAGCTAGTAGATTCTTGCAGGTACTGGAACAGAGCAAATGTTCTAAAATTGAGTGTACTTACATTTTTAGGCACTGCTCCAAAACACTAAAGGATCTTCTAGTTTTACATTTTTTTTTTTTTTTTTTTTTTTTTTTTTTGATCTCATAAAGCAAAAATCGTTCATTGTAGTAACATTTTTACAATCTTGCAGGTTTTGGAACAGTGCAATAACGACCTTAAAATCACATTGTAAAAGTTTGATCTTCATCGTTTTTTATATTTGTATTGTTTTTTTGAAACTCATGATTTTAAAACAAAACCCTATTTTAAATGAATGAAAACAGAGGTTTTAAATAAGAAGATTGCATTTAAAAGCGCTGGCCTAATGTAACTACAACCTCCTTCGGACAGAAAAATATGGTGTGTTGTGTCTATCCAGGACGACCGATGTGGAAAATATCCAGAGTCAGAAAAGAGGAGGATGATGTTTTGAAAAAGGAATGCACCCGTTTTTATAATAGCCAATACTTGTTATTTCTCAATTTTCTTTGAGAGTGAATAGTCGAAAGTATTTCACCAGAAAGATCTGCATTTTCGTCCCCAATTGCTTAAACCACATTGAAATACATTTTTCCCTACACCACATTGTGATATTATGTCTTTGTCTGTTTGTTTGTAACATGCAGAAGGAAACGAGATATGGACCAATGTATACTCATATTGAATTATTATTAGAATTACTTCCCGATTCGAGATATGTTTGTTTGTCGGTCTGTTTTTGTATGTATTTTAATCAAGATAAAACTTTGCGCAGTTAACTTTTTTCGATCCCTTTCGATTTCGTGTAAATAATGCATCCTTAAGATGGGAAACGTAGCGAATTAAAGTTTCCCATATTAAGGATCATGCGAACAAATTCAGTCTAGAACTTCAGCCTGTTTTTGTAGAAAAAAGTTACTTTCACTCGAATCGTTCGTATTCAAACGTAATCGTTTTAATATGGGTTTTTATAAAAATGTTTTCCTATCCATTATTTTGTTATTTTTTTTATTTAAATTAATTAGGAGTTGTGCTGATTGTGGCAACCCCAAGAAATTTAAAATTTATCACAAATTTGTAAAATAAAATTGAAAAATGTCAAGCAAACTTTTAAAGAACTTGGTCCTGCAAGATCCGCAAATAAAAAGTTGATATGTAAAAATAGTTTATATATAAATTCCCCGTCATAAACATATAATTTTGGCGAGATTCTGTAACAAACAGCCAATTTCTGTTCAAAACGATGGGTCTCCTCCTATCGTTTTTTTTTTCTGACATTTTCGTTTGTATTTTTTCGTTACAAAAACCAAAAATACAAGGGGAAAAGCTTTATTGTATTTGCCATTCACAGAAAAAAACATGCACTACAAAAACCCAAAATAAATTTTCTTTCGCCAAAATTCCAAACGAATGAAAAAAATACTGTTACAAAAACATGCTGTTAATCTGACTATATTTGTTCCATCCAGTTAAGATATAGTTGTAGCTCTCATATATATGGTCGATGTGACATCAAAGCTTCTGCAACGCGTCATAATATGTATGTATTATTTAAAATTATGGCCAGATTTAGCATTTAATCTACAACATCACCTAATATATTGCAGAAAGCATTTATCTTACTTTGGAAGCTATGAGTGTCGAAGTTATCATACAAGATATAAAGAATAACAAGAGCGATATCTTATTTAAATTTCATTTCTTAAAAACCCTCAAATATAAAAACAAATGGATGAAATGTGAAAATGATTTTTATCGCCGTTAAATGCAAATTTCCATTTTTCGAATTACGTGCTGTATTTTTATCATATATCGTAATTCTTCACAAAAAAGTAAAAAAAATCGAACATTATTAATAAAACCAACATGAAATTGACATTAAGTATTTGGTTACACCTTGGTCTACGGCACTGTAAAATAATTGCATTATCCTCATCAATGGGAAGAGTCTTGTATGCTCGCCGCAGTGTTCAAACGTAAATCGGACGTTTTTGTTTTGTTGTTTTTTATTCTTTCTTTCCTTTGACAATAATGCTAACAAAACGCGACATCTGTAATTTTCTTAAAACCCATAAATGTAGTTACATTTGATTGAAAAAAACTTATTACAAATATTTAGTTCTTAGATAAACAAAATTTTCATGCCGATGTGGTTCAATAAAAGTATCAATCAGGCATATTATTTATATTGGACGGAACCCATTCCAAACTTTGGGGATTGTCTAGTTAGCTGGTTAGGTTGGACCGTGTGGTGTAAACGTATATTTTGAATCAAGCTTACAATATATTGTCTATAGGATCCGTGCATATGAAGGTATGTTCGTTTTGCTTAACAAGAAAAACTTTATAAAGACTGTATATACGATTATATAAGGAAACAAAAACAAATCAACAATTTTACTAGAAAAGTAGTTATTTTTAAGCTAATTCACAAAAAATGACAATTAAATTTATTGATACAATTTTCTCTTTGTTTTTTCGCTTTTTTGTTTTTGTTATTTAATAAGTGCTTAAACGCAACGAATATGGTTATTATTAATCTCAATCTCTCTGTCTCTAAAAACATAATAATAATAAAGAAAAAACCAATTTTATGACAAGGAAAACAACAGCAAATTCTTTATTCAAATTCTAACTAAACACAATTTATAAAATAAATATATATTATCTTTGCGTTAATTGATTTTCATTCATGGAAGTGTGCTCTGAAATGGTGGAAATGGCAGAGCAAAAACGCGCTCTTTCCACCTCATTGCCTACATACAATAAAACTGAAAATAAATTTGAAAATTAATTAATCCCCTATCCCAACATAATTTAAAATAATTTTATATAACAATAATAAAAACAATTATATATTTTTTAAACTACAAACATGCGATAATGCAATTATCCGTTAAAGGCGAAGAAAATACGATCGCGCTAATATGTACGTATTTGTGTACATGCGTTCGTACATCTATAAGTATGTAAACAAATAAAATGTGTATGTAATAAAATATAATTAAATTATTTGTATTTAAATGTGTGTTTGATTTCATTTTAACGTTAACGACCAAAATAAAGTAGTCGCTAATCATAAAGATAGATTTAGACTTCTAGATTTTAGATTCATAATTCTGCGATTTAATTATATCGATATTTGTCGGTATCTCAAAAAATGAGTAATAGAAACCCAATACAGATGACATTATCACCTTGTATTACACACTTACGGTTCGTTGATTATAGGTGCAACTAAGAGTACTACATAGCTGAATTGGAAATCATACCATAAAGCCTCGATCTTAGGGATATAGGAATTTATATGAAATTCGAGCAACTTAACTCACTTATAATTTACAGAAGCGTCAATAGTCACGTCACAATATGGACTATAAAGCTAAGACTGATACAGAGGGAAGTATGGGAAAAATAGTGACAGACAATAACTAATAGAATGTAGAACATTATATACAGTAGCATGGTATTGCATAGCTACCAACTGATTATAATTTTTTCTGAGTGTGCCCGTCTTTTGTCACTCCTGTGTTTTAAAATTAACAGAAATTATAATTTAATGTTAGCTTAACAGGCAAAAAAAGTTGCCTTCACTCGATTCGTTTTTGTTAAAACGTATTCGTTAAAATTTGTTTTTTTTTTTAAATATTTCGGAAAGCTTTTCGAAAAGCTTTGATTGTCAGTGTTTCCATAACCATTATTTTTTAATTTCATTAGGAATTGTGCTGGTTGTGGCAACCCCAATAAATTCAAAATTTATTGAAACATTGTGAAATAAAATTGAAAAATGTCGACAAAACATTTGAAGAATATGTACCAGCAAGATCTTTATGTGTTAAAATAGTTCATATGTTATATTCTTATCATACTCGTACAATTTTTGCATGATTCTGTAACTACCTTACTCTCTCAGAAAGATGTTGCTGCACAATTCCTGCAGGAAAATTAACCAGACACACCTAATGTTAACTAGTCAAATTTATTGAGGTTGGTCAATTCCGGATAAAGGCTTGTATATCCCCGTTAAAGACTTGTATTTAAACATACTTTTATTTATATATTTTCATTTGCAGACCTACGTTATATCCCGAATTATATTCATACACATTTTTTCAACTTTTCGTTTTTATTTTCAAAATAAAAAAATAAGTCAAATTAAAGTTGAAATTGTTCATCATTAAAAATTTATACGCTCGACGTAATGTGTGTGTGAAAAACGTCAAAGGCGAACGTCAGGAATCGGATAGGGGTGTATGGTATTGGGTATGGATGTATCATATTTTAATTGCATTCTGCATATAACAACTGATAGCAGAACTCATATTTGAACACTCCTCTATGATATCAAAGTGGTCGTAAGCCTTAAAAACTCTATAGTTCACATTCATATTTAATTTAATAAGTTTATGAGCATATCTTTGCGATTGCTCTTTGAAGGCATTACTATCATTTTCAGCCACTATCAGATGTAGGTGAATATTTTGCTCTCTATATTTCTCTAAGAGTTCCTCACTGTATGCACAACAGAATGGTGATAGTTGTGCTGCACGATCATCATCCAAGCATAAATTGTTGTTGGGATTGCAACTGTTCAAAAACCACAATTGACGCAGATCATATAGGCCACTGATCAAAAATACGTGATCGATCAAATCTAAACGATTTTGCGGTTGTGCAAATGCATTGTCAAACATTTGCAACGCCAAATGAGCTCCTGCAGAGTGTCCACAAATGGATATTTTTGTTGCTCTTGTGTCTCGGGCATATCTTTGTAGCCATTTGTAAAAATTCGATATTTGTTGCGTTAACTGTTGCAGGGTAACCTTTGGGCACAAGTCGTAATCCACCAACAAAACCCGATAGTTGAGTTGGACAAAAGTGTGTACAATGGGACCGGCTGATGATCTATCCAATTCTTGCCAATAACCGCCATGGATGAAAACTAAAATCGGTGTTCCTAAAAAGAAATATTTGGTTAAATTGAGAAATCTAATAAAATAGCCGTGAAGGGAATTATTTTTTACCATATTCTTCCTCCTTATAGTAAATGTCGAGAAGTTGATTATCAGCCTCTCCCCCATAGCGCACATCCAAATGAGTTTTATACAAGCGACGAGCTAAAAATGTAGCTAAAAAGGAAATAAAATGAATGTGTCTGTAGCAACATTGTAAAGTAGCATTTTTTGGAGATTGCAGAGGATATAGGAAGGAAATTTTCGGGATTAGCTAACGATAATTGTGTAATGACAATAAAGTTGGCTAGGGAAAACTTACGAAAAATAAATTGTGTATAACATGATAGAAATGATTTGTTTGTTATAAAATAATTAGGCTTGAACTAATAATTGTTCTCATATGCGGTAGATAGTAATATTTACAAAGGGTAAGGAAGGAAATCCCATGGTTCCTTTGTTTTTTTTGTCTAGGGAAATTCTTTTCAGATATTATATTAACTCCTATAACAAAAACTTTTTTCCCAAGTGACGAGATTTTAGGCTCAATAGAAGATCGTGGAGAAAAATAGCTGGAAAAATTGGGTAAAATAATAACTACAGTAATTCGCAGAAAGTATATTTAATAATAACAAGATTATCAAAGGTAAAAAAACCCAAGAACAATATGCAGAAAATTTAATTTGCAAAGCGCTTTCGGGTTTTAACCGCTTTTAACTTTACTGTTACAACAGCTTAATAAGTCGAATCATATGTAACTATTCCTTGCACTTCAAACATTGAATTATATATATTTTTTCAAACCGCTTATTAATTAGAACTATATAAAGGGTGAGAAGAAAAAACTGCAACCAACTTCAGACTGCTGTCATTTCTAATCCATTCGTCCAACAACTGTTAAAATTACTCCAGTGACAGCTCATTATAATGTTTACAAGCGTACAAAAGCATTTGGTGAGAATTTTCCAAAAAAAAGTTATTCGTAATGGAATTCACGCGCGATAGTGTGACCACAAGTGGCTATCGTTAGAGCACTCCAGCATTTAAATGCGAATAAATCTTTTGTGTCTCGTACCATCGCTCGTTGCGTGGACGAAAGAAAACAGCAACATCAGCAGAAATGGTTCGAAAAGTAAAGAAGCGACTTAATGAAAGTGGTGAACTGCCGAATTTGGTTTTCTCCGATGAGAAAATGTTTCTAAACAAACAAAATGATCGTGTTTACTTGCCAAAGAGGTCGGTTGGCCACGAGAACCCAAGCGCCGGCCATGGTGATGGTGTGGGCCGCCATAACAGCCGATGGTCGCTCTCCTCTCGTATTAATCGACCGTGGCGTCAGAATAAATGCAGAATATTATCGCCATAATATTCTGGAGGGTGTATTAAAGCTTTGGGCACGCAAACATTTTGGCCGCAGACCTTGGAAATTCCAACAGGACTCAGCACGCGCCGCCCAAGAATGGTTAAAAAATAAGGTTCCTCGTTTCATTTCCAGCGCACAATAGCCACCAAAATCACCGGATCACCAATTCGAACAAATCTAAATTTCATTCAATAAAATTAAAAAAATATATATGACGTTTGACTACGTTGCAGTTTTTTTATCTTACCCTGTATGTATGAAAACCCCAAAAATATCGACTTTAATAAGATTAAAGAATTCTGAGCAACATCTTACGAACTCTAAATACCGACTTTTAAATAACCCCTTCAGGAACTGTTGCTTAAATTCGCAAAATACCGAATATCGAAAGCATGGTAGAAGAATTCTTCTGCCATGATCGAAAGGTACCTTTACATGACTTGCCTACTGATAAAATACACGTATGTGAAAAAACAAGTGCCGGTGTGCCGTAGACGACCAATCATTAAAGTAATAAAATAAAGAATTTCAACTGCTTTCTTGTACATTCATAAATTTCAATTGTTTTTCTTTATATTTTTTTAAAATCTATTCAATTTACTGTCTACTGACTGTATGGGAAACTATCGGTCCAGCAATAATTTGGAAGTAAAATAAAATTCAGATACTTGTGAAAATAACAAACAAAGGTAAAATCTAGATCTAAACGAACAATAACAAACTTAAAACATAAACAACTTAACATATTAGAAGATGCATTATTTCCCTTGTCCATCATAAATTTTCTCCACATTGGCTTTTTTGCTTCATATTTATTATTTATTTTTTACATTAAACCCAGTGGGTTCTCATATATTTGAATTTTATTCCTCGTGAAATGATAGCAATTTTTTTCTTGTCTTGGTGAATAAAAGCGACGCACACGCAATCATTTTGGTAAGGAACGCAGTATAATAGCTTGGACGCCGTAAACTAATCTGTGTCGGCTTCGTTTTTACCCTGTATTAGAAGTGGTTTTTAACTTTAAGGGATATGGAAAGCTACCAAGACCTTATATTGGATCTTGAACGTCAGGAACTGGAGGCGCAAGATCCCAGTTCGGCGCTGTATATTAAATTATTTGCCTGCTACTTGGTAGAAAACAAATTGCACGATGCCAAGTTTTTATGGAAACGCCTACCGCAAACTTTATGCAAAGAAAATGAGGACTTAAAGGCATTGCATGTAATCTTACGGTCTCTCCTTGCCAACAATATTCTGGAACTTCTTCAGCACATTGAGAGGGAATGGCCAGAAGATATCAAGCCCATCATGGAAGACTTACTACGGACAACCGAGCAAAACATAATTGGTACTGTTCAAAATGCCTATACGTCTATAGTTAAAAAGAATTTAATAGACGCTATTGATGCATACCAAAAACATATGAATGGAACCTCTTTGTCAGATGATAACAGCTCGTCTTATTGCGTCTCTCGAAATGCAATGTCAGTAGTGAGTTCGGAGCATCAATTATCAAAATTGACTGGATTTGTATCGTTTTTAGAAAACTAATTGATTTAACTGAAATATACTTTAAATTAACAAAAATAATAAAAATATTACAAAAACATCACTCTTTCGAAACACTGGTAGCCCATAAGAAAGCCAATCAGATAAGAACATAAATACATATATTTTTAGGAAATGTTTTTGTTTATAGAAGTAGAACAAAGTAGAGATAAGTGAATGCCTTGCTGACAGATCAACATCTCCATGAAATATCTATCTTTGAAAACTTGGTGTTTGCACCCTAATTGAGGAGGAAGTCAGGGGTACAAGTATGCGAAACATGAAGAAATTTACGTACGAATTGTATAGGAACTATAAAATATGATATAAAGACGCTTTTCCAGAACCGGCTAAAATCGGAACAAATCGAGATTACACCCACCTGGAGTAAAAATCTGAAATTTTGGCCAAACGGCGTTTTTCTTCTACCATTTTTATCGAGACATATAGTTCCAAAGTTTTAAAAAATGTATAAATTTGATTGATTGAAGAGATATTTTTGGATATGTTATTTTTTTTCCTCCTCTGGGGTATGTTTAACACCGGCTTTACGAACCAACGTTTTTTTTTACAAAATTAATTTTTTAAATACCGGTGCTTGATATATTTTCCTCTAATCTATGTCCAAAGCAGGCTACGCGAACCAAAGTTTATCTAATTTTTTATTGATACACTACTTATGCAAACATTTTAAAATTTATGTTTCAATAATCGGCTAAGATATAAAGAAAGTCTCGAGAAGTACGGCTCTCCCAATAATGGTTTTGTTGTTGTAAACGGCCTTTTAACCTACATGTAACAAATTGAAGCATTTATTTCACTTATCGGGTTGGGAATATCAAAGTAAAAAAGAGATACTATTGTAACATTGGAATTGGAAGTATACGACGGGAAGGATGAATGTTTTTGTAATTAGGATAAAAATAAATATACAGTTCTGGAACCGACCAAGATTTTGTGTTTTCCGGCACTGTAAAACATACCATAAATGTATCATTTCTTTCAAATAGACGTTTGAATTGAAAAAAATTATATTGATCAAAATTGTATTGGTATTCGTCAATAAGGAAGGAATCGTGGATTTTTTCTGATAACGAATTTTTTGATATGAATTTGGAACAGATTTATTGGATGGTGTCATAGGTCTTGTTTCCAATAGCTCTATAACTGATTATTTAAGCGCATGTAACAAGCATAATAACTTTTTCAGAACAAAAAAATAACAAAATGAATCTTTAAAAACGTGACTCGACGCATTTCTATAAAAATAATTTCAGTGGTACCTTCTTAAGGATATCGTAGAAATTACTTTCATAGATTGCCGAAAATAGAGAAATCACATTTTTACAATTTTGGATAATAATTTGGGCAAATATTAGGTCTGTCTCTTTTACAATTTGGATTTTGCAACTTGGTTTCCCAAAAATAAAACAATTGGAACTCATAAACATTGCTAATATTCTTCTTCTATGCGTGTTTTTCTTATTTGAATGTATTTTATATAAGAAACTAGTTTCGGATATCCGTGCATACAGATGCGCATTAAAGCAGATTTTGCAGTCTGAACAGCTGTGTTCGACTAATAGCTTGTGTTTGAAGGCATATTAGATTGTCGTTAAACAACGTACTCATATTTATGTTTCTTTTTATATACAATGGGCTTATATGCGTGATCAACTGTATTTTGGCTTGGGTTTGAATTATTGAAAATGTTTACATTTTATGGAGGAAATATCGAGAGATAACTGATAGACATTTTACATTGTCTACTTTCTCCACCTTAAATCAGGTATTTAGTAAATCGCTGTCACATTTCAATGTTATGAAAAAATGTGGGGGAAGTATCAACATTAGTGAAGCAATGAATCCTATTTTCGCATCAGATCTTGTGTTAGTATATATATCGGGGTTCGCTTGGTTTGAAAGGAGTCGAATGTTTATTTTTTATTTTCTGAGGGTTATTGTTATTCAAAATTTTGACCCGCTGTGGTGGAGGTTGCAGAAGAAGTGGTACGATCACACAAGATCTTGTGTTAGTAGAAATATGGAGATGTGCGAAGTTTGGAAAGGGGGAGGAAAATAAAAGGGATGAACCAATACTATTCATTTTCGCACCTGACCTTGCACAGATACAAATATAAGGATTTGGAAAGTTTGAACAAAATTAAAAGGCCGTTTCCCTTTCTATGAATTTAATTATGTTCTTTGGAATTGTTGACTAATCGGATACTCCCTTTGACGGACGGACACTCCTAAATCGACTCGAAATGTCCTGAAATGTGGTATAAAACCGTTATTAACAATTCGAAAAAATGTTACAAATTCCAGGGTTACCATACAGACATGAAAAACCTATTTTGACAACAATTTTGATCAATTTCGAATATCTAACTACGTCAATGAGAACTACATTAATATAGAGCTATGTATGATTTATCCGGGAAATGACTTTTAGAAATAAATATATTCGCGATTGAATGAAAATTTTGCAAGTCCTCTCAAAAGTATCCGATCATTATCAGCACAATATTAAAAAAACCAGACGATAGATTATGTGAGATAAAAATCATTGTTGTATTGTTACTAAAAGAACTATGTGAAGTCTTCTTTTTTGCAAGATCTGCACTCTTCTATAAAAAAAAATATTAGAAATGTTTTAGCGATGTTTACCACTTCAAACTTTAGTTGACACATTCCGTTTATCATTGTCAAAGAAGTATGGATTCGATCTTAGCAAAGAATACATCCCTTTCAAAGATAAATCATGCACTACCATCGTTGAATTTACGCTATTAAAACTCATTGGAGCAGAATTGTCGGCTATTGTTGTTCTTTTGTGCCCAAGGTTGGTATATATGAGATTGTTGAACTCTAAATGCATTTATTGTTCGGATTCTAAGCACACAAAATAAGTGTTTCCATTAAAATTAGTATTTTATTTTTTTAGACATTGAAGATCTTTGCTATGATTAGTGATCAACTATCAAAAATTTGACTTATGTTTACAAATTGTTTTTAACCGATGTAGTATTAATGTAATTGTATGTTTCATAACTTTCAAGAATCTACTAGTTTTGCAATTTCCTTCGATATTATTAGGGGAAACTCAGTTAACGTAGTTCGTTCACAAATATTCAGCTTTCCCATTATGGTAAATGTTTTTTTTACGTCCGTGTTACCCAAATACCCCAGGACCATATTTTACGAGTGGCATATTTTCAAAAATAATAAATAATCTATTATTTTTTCGGCGTTCCTAGGTTCGTGTTAATGTTTCCTATCTTAGGCAGACAAATATTATTTATGTAGTTTTGAGCTTAAACATATACAAATAGTGGTTTTAGTCTCATTTTAAGGAAACAATATCGGTGCTGGTAAAAAAATATTCACAACACCAGCTACATGCAATAAAATTACCAATATTATAGCAAAACCAACCGCGATATTGTTGATGCAAAATTATGCTTTGAAACAAAGTTGAACCATTCCATAATCAAGCCTTATAAGTATGTAATAATTCTAATCTGTTAGTTTTTATATACCTCCTTGACATTATACTCTCTGAAAACGTAAAAATTGCAATACATTTGGCAGGAAAAAAAAAATAAAATTTCTTCCAGCTGTACGCTCAAATTTAAGGAAGAACTACAAAATTCAAATTTGTCAATTTATGAACATCAAATAAAAAATTGTAATCGTATTGCAAGCCACACACGAAGCAACTGGTTGTACAACTTGGAGAGGTTGTATTCAAGATTGTATCGTTTGTGGCCCGGTTGTACGAAGTTGTGTCTCGGTTGTACAAAAAATCAAAGTTTTTTGATATTTGGCATGTTGTACCAACCGATTGTAATGTTTGTGGGCATGTCGCATACAATTTCATTTTGTGTTTATTTTCAAAGGGGCAACACCATTGTTTCGCACATCAAAACAACACGAATTCCAATCAAATGTGTAATTTCAATGAAAATATAAAAAAATAAAAATATATATAAAACGGAATTCCAAAAATTATTGATAAATAAAGGCTATTAAGTAAATTATAGAGCACGAAATTATTTCCGGTCTCATCTTAACTCAAATGAACTCTTCGAAAAGTTAAGTTGTACGAAGAGGTTGTATACAAAGTTGTATCATTTGTGGCCGAAGAATACAACTTGACAACCCTCCAGGTTGTACCGCGTGATATTACCTTTGTATTTCGATATGTCCAGTTGTTTTATTTTTCAATAACAAATATTTATATTTTTGTATTATTTAAATCAATTTCAACATTGACAGTGTTAACTAAATTTCGACATACTCAATCGACGTGTTCCATTCCCAAGTAAAACACATGTATTTATAAGAAAGTTACCCAAATACGTAAAATGATTTGATACGTAAAATGAGTTGAATAGAGCGAACCATGATTTTTCTTTCAAAAATATAATCCAAACTTGTCAATCTTTCCATTTCATGGCAAAACTAGGTAATAGTTCTAATACGCGCCTCGCAATATACGTATCATTATTGTTTTTCAAAACTATGGCACAATTACAGAAGGTAGAACAAAGCTACCCCCCAAACACAATTATTTTCTTTTGGTGCCCTTTTTCTGTAAAAGCATATACACATTTTTTGTAAGTATTGTTTTGGATAAAAAACACAATAATTTGAAATTATTTCAAATTTGGTTGCAAAATAAATTTTCGACGAAATGGGTAACAAATGGTACAATTTTGTGATAAAACTGTATTGTCTTACTATTTTAAATTCAATATTGTGGCATAACCCCGAAATTTCATTCTTGTTTCGCGGGTTTTTACCAATGTAAGAATTTTGTTAAAAAAAAATAAAAATAAACAAAGCCTACTTTTGCATATTTAAAAGTCTATTTGACACTTTAAGACACCAGAACAGAGTTGCATTTTTCTACTTTCTTTGAAGTTGAGCAACCTTTCTTATTGAGCCATGCATACAAAAAATTGGCAGAAGTCAGCCACATTTAGAAAAAAATGTATTCAGCTGGTAGTTCTACCTTACCTTTTTATTATACCATGTTAAAACGTTAACAGTTGG